TTTTTTTTTTTTTTTTTTGCTCCAAATGAGCTGATTTTTTTTTTTTTATGGGGTTACCTCATGTAGCGCAGCCCCTCCCCATTTTTAATTTTTTTTTTCCCGCTATTTATTTTGGAAAAAATGAGTTGTCCGGGATTCCGGACAACTCCCTCACCGGACGTCCGACGGAGACGTCCGGGAAACGTCTCCGATTGGACATCTGGTAACCTAGGAAATTTCCAAATTGGGAGACTGCCAACACGCAAGCCCTCTAGAGGCCAGTAGATGCTACAAGACAAAATTTCAATCAGACTTATCACATTATGTCTGAGTAAATAAGCAAAGAGCTGGAAAAAAACAAAAAAACAAAACAAAAAGATCTGAGTACGTAAGCTGATCATCTCAGGATCTCCGTCTTCAACACAAGAGGCAACAGAGTTGAAAAGACATCAACAGGACAGTTCCTCCCGCCTCCCCCCCCCCCCCCCCCCCCCCCCCCCCACAAAAAAAAAAAAAAAAGGTTGCGCAGAAACATGATAAAAGACATCATCAGGCAGATGGATCCTTTTTTTCTTTCTTTTTTTTTCTTTTTTTTTTCCTTAAACACAGTCCGGCTGCTAGGGAGAGCGATACGAGCGCCTCCCTCTAGCAGTCTTCCTGGATGCTCCAGTCTATTGGTGGGAAGCCGCACCTGCTGGAAATGGGGTCCAGCGTCCCTTTTAGAGAAAGGGGAACTGCACATCCTGCTACTGTCACAAGCAATCCTTTTTCGTTCTTCCTTCTTCTTCTTCTTCTTCTTCCACCACACCTTGGCGAGATTTGCCAGGGTGACCAGTTCCTTCGGTGAAGCATGGCAGATGCTCGCCGAACGGCTGGTCAGCTTTTCCCAGAAATAGCAGCACATGCAATTGGCTGGGTAAACAGGAGTATTAGGAACAGAGTGTAGGTTGATGGGTAGCAGATAGGATATAGTGGGGATGAGCAGGCGGTCAGAGTGTATATTAGTCCTCTTTTCTTTTTTGTTTCAATACTTGTGAACACTTTCCACAGCAAAAGATTAACTTCCCCAGCCTCCAACTACTGTAAACATCACCGCCCTACCTTTTTTTCTTTTTTCTTTTCAAGAAAAGAAATTCAAAAACTGCATGTCATCCTTGCGCAGGAGCCATGCATTAATCTTTTCTTCATATCGTTTCAATTTTAAACCACAGTGCCTACCGGTTGTCAAGCCCCGACCCTAAAGCTACCGGTATGCGTAACCTACAGCTACGGGAAGCCTCGAAGTACCGGTACTTCGAGGACATCAAAATTTCTTTACAATAAACGTGAACAAAATCAAAAGAAAAACAAACGAAAAAACAAAGAAAACTTTCAGAAAAAAAAGAAAAAGGAAGAAGGGAAACGAAATTCAGAACAACGGACTGCACCGCACCGTGAGAGAGAGAGAGAGAGAGAGAGAGAGAGAGAGAGAGAGAGAGAGAGAGAGAGAGAGAGAGAGAGAGAGAGAGAGAGAGAGA